TGTGCCTGTGGGCCTACTCGGCCTTCTGCGGGCCTGAATCCTGGCCCTTTAATGGGTTTCTAGTCGTATTCAGGCCGTGGTGGCCCAGTAGGTGGCATATTTTCTTTTTTTCTTCCTTTTTTCCTTTTTCCTTTTTTCTTCTGTTTTTTTCTTCTGTTTTTTTCTTATGTTTTTCTTCTGTTTGTTTTTTTCTTCTGTTTTTCCTTTTTTTCTTCTGTTTTTTTCTTCTGTTTTTTTCTTCTGTTTTTTTCTTCCTTTTTCCTTCTTTCTTCTTCTTCCTTTTTCCTTTTAAAATCAGAAAAATAAAACTAATTCATTTTAAAATCTTAAAAATACAATTATATATCAAAAAAATCAGAAAAATAAAACTAATTCATTTTAAAACCCCTTGAAGGTTTGACAAAAGGTTTGATACATCATTCAGTTCATCGACCAAATACAAAGTTTGGTACAATAAATTATTACACATCAATTCTTCCCTTGTGTCCCTGCTTGCTTACGATTGTGCCGTATCCATGGAGCATCCTCATCATTTAACTTAATGCTTGGGTCAATGTTCACTTTGAAGGGCGGAATTTCACCAAACATATTATAATCTTCTGACATGTCTGTCTTGTCCTCCACTCCCACGATGTTTCTTTTCCCTGAAAGAACAATGTGGCGCTTTGGATCATCGCATGATGTACTGATCGTTTTCTTATCTTTCCGTTTCCTCGGTTTGCTACTCATGTCCTTCAAATAAAAAACCTGAGCGACATCTTTGGCAAGGACGAATGGTTCGTCAAGGTAACCAAGATTGTTGAAATCCACCATTGTCATTCCGTATTGCTCGTCCACCTTTACCCCACCTCCTGTTAGCTTGAACCATTTGCACCGGAACAAAGGGACCTTAAAGGAGGAAGAAATCAACGATGCCCAAGGTACACGTTCTTCTTACAATTTGGCAAATGTACACTTTCAGTCTCATGTAAGCAGTGCGTGCATGCATTGTATCCCTTATTTGACAGTCCCGAAAGGTTACTAAGAGCAGGCCAATCGTTGATGGTTACGAAAAGCAACGCTCGTAGGTCAAATTCCTCTTGTTTGTGCTCATCCCACACACGGACACCACCCCACAGCTGTAAAAGTTCATCAACTAATGGCCTTAGGTACACATCGATGTCGTTGCCGGGTTGCTTCGGACCTTGGATGAGCACTGGCATCATAATGAACTTCCGCTTCATGCACAACCAAGGAGGAAGGTTGTAGATGCATAGAGTCACGGGCCAGGTGCTATGGCTGGAGCTCTGCTCGCCAAAAGGATTCATGCCATCCGTACTTAGAGCAAATCTTATGTTCCTTGCGTCAGCTGCAAAATCTTTGAACCATCTGTCGATCTTTCTCCATTGCGTTCCATCTGCGGTGTGTCTCAACTCCCCGTCCGACTTACGGTCCTCTTTGTGCCATCGCAACAACTTGGCATGCTCTTTGTTCTTGAACAGACGTTTCAACCGTGGTATTATAGGAGCATACCACATCACCTTGGCGGGAACCCTCTTCCTGGGTTTCTGGCCCTCAACATCGTCACCAGGGTCATCGCCTCTGATCTTATAACGCAATGCAGTGCATACCGGGCATTCATTCAAATTCTCGTATTCACCGCGGTAGAGGATGCAGTCGTTGATGCATGCATGTATCTTCAGAACCTCTAAACCTAGAGGGCAGACAACCTTCTTTGCTTCGTACGTACTGGCGGGCAACTCGTTATCCTTTGGAAACATATTCTTCAATATTTTCAGCAAGTTTTCAAATGCCGAGTCAGCTACACCTGCCTCTGCCTTCCATTTCAGCATCCAGTGTGCAGCCCAGCTTTTTCAGACCATCATCGCATCCGGGGTACAGCGCCTTTCTGTGATCCTCTAACATGCGATCCAAATTCTCCCTCTCCTTTTCAGTTTCGCAGCGTCTCCGTGCATCAGCAATGGTCCGACCAAGATCATCAACGGGATCATCACGTGCCTCTTCTTCACCTTCCCCTTCACCTTCAGCATCCTCCATGAAAGTATCACCGAAATGAGCAAGATAGCTTTCATCGATGAAATCATCCCCTTCTTCATCTTCTTCCATTATAACCCCTCTTTCTCCATGCTTGGTCCAACAATTATAGCTTGGCATGAAACCGTGCCGAAGCAGATGCATGTGAACATCTCTTGAGGAAGAGTAACCCTTCTGATTCTTACAGATAACACATGGACAGATAACAAAACCCCCCTGCTTGTTCGCATTAGCCACTACGAGGAAATCTTTCAAACCCGTAGTGAACTCGCCGGAGAGTCGGTTACCGTACATCCATTGCCGATTCAGCTGCATTATTATAATATAAAATATATAATTAACCATCATGCATTTGTTAAACTAACTAGCTACAAACAATATAAATTAAACAATGAACTGCACACATGCATATTTTATCAATGACACACATGCATGAAAGGTTCAAGTTGCTAACCGCGATCGAGGAGGAAAAAATAAATGAGGAACCTCAAGTGTGGCTCCAACACTTCATATCATGTTTGTTTCACCCTCTTAGGGCATTTCGTCAAACACCTTGTGTGCATAAGAGGAACCAAAAGCAAACCTACACCCCCTTGTGAAGCTTGTGAAGAGAAGTGGCACCAAATGGCTAAGTGAGCGTGCTGAACTGGTATATATAGGGGAGGAGCTTTAGTCGCGGTTGGCCTGGCCAACCGCGACTAAAGGCCTTTGCGCACCTTTAGTCGCGGTTGGCCTGGCCAACCGCGATTAAAGCCCCTCACGTGCACCAGCTGGCCACCGAGCGCCCTGGGCCCAGGCCTTTGGTCGCGGTTCGTCTGCCGAACCGCGACTAAAGACTTCATTAGTCGCGGTTCCTACAGTTTCGCGACTAATGGGGCTGGACGGAAGCCTCTTTTTCTACCAGTGATATATACATACATTTCTATCCATTTCTGCGGCAAATAATTCAAGGCGGAGAGGGTAGGATATAATCTTGGGAGTACCTAGAACTCATCTAGATGAGATATAATTTGTTCTCATTCATTTTGTAAACAAGAATAGATACAACCCACGTCAGCACACACGCATCTTATAGCATCACATGCAATGGCTATAAAAGATGAATGAGACCAAACTATATCTCATCTAGATGAGTTCTAGCAAAACTGTATAATCTTAATTTGGCACATATACATAACTAATCCAAAATGCTTACGGACACTAATTAAACAAGATTTCTAGTTGCCTAAAAAAAATGAGATTTCTAGCTGCATGCTCAAAATCATGTTCAAACCTTGCAATGGGACTGACTATGCGTCATAGCCATGCGACTGGCCACCGCATTGCTTGTACACATGATTTAATTAGTTTTTGGTAATCGATTTGTTTCTGAAAAGCTTTTATTTAGAGACAGGATTTTTGCCTCTCGGGTTCCATGAAGCCTGAATTTTTTTAAATAGTAATAATAAGTTGACCTTTTATGCTAAAAAAAAATCTAAAAAAAACTAGAGACGTATACTGCATGTGTGTAAATTTCATTTTTAAACCTATTTCAATGTGAGCTGTAAAAAAAACAATACCAATGACTTTTATATTGAATAGTACATGTGCTTAAAATGCATGATTTTGTTATTTTTGGGTCGCACGCATAAAAACATATTTCGCCATGAAAATATGCAAACAAGTACTCTACACATTTGTAGGTATGTGTGTATTTGTCTCAGAAAATTTTGAAACCTAAAAATAAGGGTTTTGGAATTTTCAAAAACCAGGCTCCATGGAGCTTTAGAGCCAAACACAATTTCCGTAGTTGTGCATTTCTGAAAACTAAAGGCATACACTTTTTAGTTGAGCATACTAGCAGAATATTTTTAATTTGACCGTGCTAGTAGAACATTTTAAAATAAAACTTTCCTACTATATGTAAATTATGTTCTTTATTAATTTAGAATTGACTTATTTAATGTTGTGGTTATTATTCAATATTTAAAGTTTATGTCTAGTCCCATATTTCAATTGAATAAAGTTGTGCAACTTGAATTAGCACACATGCAACTTGTTATTAGATCTTTTTTAAGCAAAACTATTTATTTTTATAATTTGTATTCCATTATTATTTATTTGGACATCCTTTTTTTGAAAAACATGTTTATTTTCGTATTTTAAAATATCAAATTCGCACTTTTTTACTTTGTGTAATTTGAATTGATGGCAGTTCATTTTTTTGTTATTACTGAATTCTTTTTTTAAATGCTGTTGAAACTGTTTAAATTTTATCTATCGATATTTGTAGACTTACATCTAGTTGCGGCGATCAACCATTACAGCTGCACTTTTGTTTTTGGCCCTTTGCCTTGTTTTTTTTGGCCAGCAGGTCAGTATTATACCCCTACTTTCTAAAACGGCCACCAGCTCATTATTGTAAGTTTTTTCAAATCTAGTAAAATCTCGGTCAACTCAAAACCGTACGGCCACAGACCATGTTTCGTTATTGGTTTGTGTCCGTGTCAACGGTTCATGGCTATACTATTACTACGTGGGCTGATGGTACAAGAAGCTTAAGTCAGCTGCATTTGCACTTTGAACAATTCACACCCCTACTAGAGCATATGGTAGGCAGTTTACATACATATGTGCAAACATCATACATACTATACGCAACCTTCATACATACTATACGCAACCTTCATCAATACATACAAGTCTGACGTGTATACATACGGCAGGGACCGGTCCTTCACCGTACATTATGTGGTGCCGGCCGGCTCCCCTCACTCCTTGAGACTAAGCAATTTCAGTCCAAATCGCATAGGATTATACATAGGCGCGGTATATTTTTTAGGTGCTTTGTCTCCACTACTAATTAAACAACACACTAAACTAATCAAAGGAACTGACACCATTATAGCCACTAAGTTATTACATTTCACAATTAAGTACATACTGTAGCAGATAACTCCAGACGTCGCACGGTGGTACTACAGGCTCTAGCTGTCCCCGCCGGCACCGGCACCGCTACCCGGTCCTCTCCTGTTACCGGTGGTGTTTTTCAGTATCTGCAAACGGGAGATTGGTCAGACTATGGAGGCCTCTCCCGCTTAACAAGATCACATTAACTAACAGATAATGTAATACTACTATAATTAATGAGAGGTGGCGATGTCAAATAATCTCATGTAGTACTTGTGCCTCGACCATATATGATTTCCGGTTAACGTACCTGTCTAAGCATTTGGTTCTCATTCTGCAGCGTCGAGAGCCTCTCCTCGAGCTCCGAGTTTCTCGTCTCCAAGTCCTTCACCTTCACCTCCAGCTCGCCCATGTATGCCTTCTTCCTCTCCCGTGCCTGCTGCGCCGACACCCGGTTCCTCAACAATCTAGATCAATTAGATTGTAGGGGACAATATAATTGTTGGGGTAAACAAGAGTTAGTGCACCTTCATTTCGTACAGTTACACCAAGATAATTCATGACTCTTGCTTAGTTTAAATGGATACTCCATGCTATGTTGTGACAAACATTCGGTAGCTATTGTGATAGGGAACATTTTATGACAAACCAACAAGAGCAATGGTTATCGATTTTCTTTATAAAAAAGCTCTAGCACTTCCATCTTTTATAAAAAAAATGCACTTCCATTTTTTGCAGGTTATCTTCTGAGCTACACGTTGAATGTATCTTGGGATCTCTTGCACATTGAACATGATGTAAAAGACGCCATAATTACTTCAAGCAGGAGAGGAAATGCGAGCGGAGAATCTTGGCTGCAGTGCTTTGCGAAATATAGTGTCAGCAATGTGTGTGATTGATTGCATATGGTGTCCCAGCTGATGCTAGAAATGAGTACCTTTACATTTGGGAAGAAGTCACCATAAAGAGTGTGGGGAATTTTTGCAAAGCTTGTGATTGAGATCTTCAGAGATGAGTGTTTGAGAGCACCCAATGCAGATGGAATTGCAAGGTGGGCGGAGATGGGTGCATCAACATGGTTCATGGGGATGCTTGGGTGCATTTATTCCATGCACTTCAGATGAAAGAATCGTTCGACCGCATGCCATGGGAAATTTACTTAGCACTAGGATGGTCCAACTATCATACTTGAAACTATTGCATCACATGATCTATGGACTTGGCTTGCTATTTTGGGATTCCGGCTCTCACAATGAACTCAATATCCTGCGAAGTTCTCTTCCTTTTGCATGGCTTTCTACTTGAATGCTCCCTTGCAACTTTGTAGTCAACGGTTAATTACCAGTATGATATGGGCTACTACCTTGCATATGGCATCTATCTTTCATCGTCTACATTTGTGAAGACAATTGCATATCGTCATGAAAACAATAGAGTTCACTTTGCCAAGGCTCAAAAAGCTCTAAGAAAGGAGGTTGAGAGAGCTTTTAGGGTGATTGTCTGTGGGCCTGCTAGATTTTGGGACCAAAAGGCAATGTGTATATCATGGAAACATATGTGATCGTGCATTACATGCAAATAGAGAATGAGATTGTCCAAGAGACTTTGAGTATGATTATGTGGGAACAGATGTGACGGTTGAGCAACATGTAGACAAAACCCAAAGATTTCTTGAAGAGCATCGAAAGATCGAAGAGAACTAGATGCATGAGCAACTTTGAGATGACCTTGGGAGCGCATCTGGCAACTTCATGGGCACTAGTTCATTCCTTCACATCATATATATCTTTGGATTATTTTCTTTCAAATACAATGGAACCGTGTGTGGTTGAAACATCAATGTTTAGATTAATATGATGTGAAAATGTAGTTGACATGATGTTTATATTCACAAGGGATGAGAAATAGGAAGAGAAAAATTAACGGGAGTTAAGATAATTGGAGGCTGCCAAAAGAAAGCTTCCCAATACCCATAATTTTGCGGGAACGCTGGAACAATTGGGGGTTTGAGATTTTAGTTTAGGGTATCAGCTAGAGTTTCTCTAATCTCCTCACGATCATTTTGTTCTGTCTTCCTATATTGTCAGACTTATGCTATTAAATATGCATCCATTTCATTATCTCCAAACAATCCAAAGGGCACAAACCAACTAGCTAGAGTGGTGGATATGCCTAACGTTATTGTGAGAAGATTGGAAGATAGCGTCCCACCACTCATTGATATATTGAAACATGGACCAACAATTATTTTATGTTGCTTCCTAAACTATTGGAGCAACTAGTCCCAGACCGTGTGAGCGAAAGGGAAAACCAAACAAAGGCGAATGGTTGTGTTGTGCTAACTCAAGAAAATTCGACAAAGTTGTGGTATATGGCCAAACTAGGGTCACTGAGTATGTCGATTGCAAGGACTGTCCCATGCAACACAAGCCATGAACACAATCTATGCTAAGATTTACCCATGCCTTCTAGATCTTACTCGTGGGGAACTTTGGTTGTCTTCTACGAAATGCATGCGTAGACCTAGTACCAGATTATTAGTGCTCCAATGGCATTTGATCGAGTCACTACTCGATGGCACCAGATTGACTAATATTAGGAGGATCCACTGGATGGACTACATGAATTGATTTGTGTTAGTTAATCTGGAATCTTGAAGAGCTTTGAACATGTCCACAGAGTTCCCCATTCCTCGCCAGGTTTCCATGCCCAACACTACAATTTTACCATGATCCCCAAGTGTATCTTGATCAAAGGGAAGAAAAGTGAGATTTATGTATCATTGGAAGGTAACTATGCGCCTAACTAGTACCTTTCTAGGTTCCTCCATGAGTGTTATGACAATCCGCTCAATGTCCATTTTGCTGGGACAACCACGCCATGGATCTTGGGATGATAGACCCACCATGCCATTGTCATCCACTTACATATGGACCAATAAGCCATGGTGATCGAAAGAATTAACTAATTGGCAAATGGCATGGACGATGTGAGAATATGGTAATCATCCTTTTGGAATCTTCTATAGTGAATAGGAAGCCAAAATATTGCCAAAGTCGGCAACCTTTGGTGATGAGGATACCGGGGAGATCCAAACCATCACATCCGCCTAGAACTTCTTTGACTTGATCATATTGGTGGGCAAGCCCATTCCCATGTCCATAGCAATCTTGAAGTTCATAGCTTTTGACTTTGGCTCATCGGGTTGGGACAGTGCTTGTGCCATTTACATATATAAAGAATTTGGTTGCCATGGCAAGGATATATGGGCTTAAGAATCTCCCTCCCAATGGGCAGCTAGAGAATCCTTTGCAGGAGAGGATTGCTCTACTTGGATTAAACTCACCTCCTACCAAAATATCAACTGAAATGTTTGAAGTTACTCAACATGATTATCAACATGTTGACTTAAAGTTCTAATAACTTGCAAATTCTAGCTTTGTGCTTATTGGTAATTTGAGTTATTTATCTCACTTTTAATTGGTATTTCTTAGGTATAATCAGGAAATAACTATTTCTATGTCACTGCTAAAAACCAGTTAATTGGAACCTAACAAATGTTTATGCTCCATGCCAAGACGACAAGAAAACAGAAGCTCTTCAAGATTCCAGATTAAATGTTTATGTTCCAATTAACCAGTTAATTTGTTAGAGTCCAACAACTACCACATTGGAAGGTAACTATGCGCCTAACTAGTACCTTTCTGGGATGTGAAGGTAACTATTTCTATGCCCAGAAGCAATGTGGTTCGGTTTGAAAATTGGTGGATGGATCATGATAGCTTCTTACCCTTGGTTGAGTCGGTCTGGAAGCAAAGTATTCACTATGCAGATGCAGCAAAGAGGATTAATGCAAAAATGAAAATCTTGAGAAAAAGTTTGAAAAACTGGGCCAAAACACTCTCCAAACTTAAAGAGGATATCTTATCACTCAATGCTCTGATTGCTATGCTGGATACTTTAGAGCAATCCAGAGATTTATACCCTTTTGAATCCTCTTTTAGATCGGCTCTCAAGCGTCACTTGGAGAAACTGCTCTCCCAGCAGAAGGAATATTGGCGGCAAAGAGGCAAGATTAAATGGGTAACCTTAGGCAGTGAAAATTCAGATTTTTTTTCATGCTTTAGCCTCTGTTCAGCACAGACATAACTGCATCACTTCTCTTGTTGGCTCTGATGGTGTGGAGGTTTTTGGTCATGAGGCAAAGGCTAAAATACTCCATGCGGCTTTCAAAGAGAGGCTGGGACAATCCGGTTCCTTTGATATTCCTGATGATCTGCTGAATCTTATACAGGACCACAGTGACTTATCTTTCCTGGAAAACCCATTTACCAAAGATGAAATTGATGTTGTAATTACAGACTTCCCTTCTCACAAATCTCCGGGGCCGGATGGATTTAATACAGATTTTATCAAGAAGTGTTGGCCCATCATCAAGCAGGACTTTTATGACCTTTGTGATCAATTTCATAAAGGACATTTGTGTCTTCAAAGCATAAATAGTTCCTTCATCACCCTAATTCCGAAAAAAGTTGATGCATCAGGAGTCAACGACTTCCGACCTATATCACTCTTGAGTTGCACTATTAAACTCTTGACAAAACTGCTGGCTAATCGATTGCAGTCTATTATTTTGGAATTAGTTCATACTAATCAATATGGGTTCCTCAAATCAAGGACCATCCAAGACTGTATTGCCTGGGCATATGAGTTTCTGTTTCAATGCCATAAAAGTAAGAAACCAACTATTGTGCTAAAGTTGGACTTTGAGAAAGCCTTTGATAAGATGGAACATGGTATGATTCTAGCAATTCTTAAGAGAAAAGGTTTTGGAGACACTTGGTGCTCTTGGATCAAGCAGATTCTTGGCTCTGCCACATCATCTGTTCTCCTTAATGGCATTCCTGGAGTTCAATTCTTATGCAGACGAGGGGTGAGACAGGGGGACCCCCTCTCTCCTTTGCTCTTTGTTTTGGCGGCAGATTTCCTACAAACTATTCTCAATGATGCAATGCATAGAGACCTCATTCAGCCACCCATTCGGTTTCAAACATGTCCAGATTTTCCCATTCTTCAATATGCGGACGATACTTTGATTATTATGCCTGCTTGCCCCAATCAGCTGGAACATCTCAAACACCTTCTGGGCATTTTTTCTAGGGCCTCCGGTCTCAAGGTCAATTTCCAGAAATCCAACATGATTCCTATCAATGTGGCTGAGGAACAAATGCAATGTCTATCTGCTATCTTGGGTTGTGCAATTGGTAAGTTCCCGTTTACCTATTTGGGAACACCCCTTAGCTTTACTAAACCAAAACTGGAGCACTTCATGTATCTCATTGAGAGGATTCAGAAGAGGCTTTCCACATGCTCTAAGTATTTAAGTTATGACGGGAGACTACTTATGGTCAATGCAGTCTTTTCCTCATTGCCAACTTTTCTCATGAGCTGCTTGCTCCTCTATAAAGGTATCATTGAGCAAATTGATAAATATAGAAGGCATCTTTTTTGGAGAGGAAAAGACCTTGAAAAGAAAAACCCACCTTTAGTCGCATGGGATATGCTCTGTCGACCCAAGAATAAAGGTGGTTTGGGTATCTTAAATCTGTGGCTCCAAAACAAATGTTTACTAATGAAAATGGTGCATAAATTCATCAATCATGCAGACATTCCATGGGTCAATTTGGTTTGGGAAATATATTATCCAGAGGGACTCTCGCCAATTAATACTCAGACTTGCTCCTTCTGGTGGAGGGATTGTCTTAAGCTTCTACCCGATTACAAGAACCTTGCGGTCTGTTCCTTGCAGGATGGAAAATCTCTCTCCTTTTGGTCAGATATATGGGATGATCTACCCAAAAGGGAGTTATGGACACACCTATTTTCCTTCTCACAGAATCAGAATATTTCTCTCCACAGGTTGGGCAATTTGGAAGATTTAGTTACACACTTTCATGTTCCTTTGTCAGAAGAAGCTTATGAGCAATTTCAACAATTGGAATTACTGTTGCACAATACCGGCCTAGTTTCAGAGCACGATATCTGGCAATTACCACAAGGAGCCCATGCTTACAGCGTCTCTAAGACATATAAGTTGCTAGTCACTTATCCAGAGCCCATTCCAGTCGTGAAATGGTTATGGAAAACCTGTTGTCAACTAAGGCACAAAATCTTCTACTGGCTTTTGATATTTAACAGATTAAATACGAGAGCTATGCTGCACCGGAAAAATTTCTTCATTGAGGATTACACCTGTGTTATGTGTAATCAACACTCCCTGGAAACAAGGGATCATCTCTTCTTCCAATGCCCATATGCCCAGCTCTGTTGGCAATATGTGTGCCCCTCATGGCAGCCCCAGAATACAAATATTCAGGAAGAAGTGGCGCATCTCAAGCATCTTATCAATTTGCCTTTTGCTCTGGAAATCATCATTCTGGTCTCCTGGGCAATATGACAACGCGGAATGATATCATTTTTAAAAAGATTCCCCCAAATCTATATACTTCCAGGCGCAAATTCAAAGAAGAGATGAAATGGCTCACTCATAGAGCACGAAGACAGGATTATTCTGGCATGGCGGATTGGGTTGCAATGTTCAGATAACTTGCTGATCCAGTTGGGTGTTTTTGCTGCTTGTTTTCCTTGTATGTATGTATGTATGTATGTATGTTTTTTTTACCTTTCCTAGGTTTTCTTTTTCGTTCTGATGTATAGTTTTTTTCTCTCTTACATGGACCTTTTGTATTCTTTTATTTGAAAATTAATAAAAATACGCAGCAGAGTCCTGCTGTTTCCCTCAAAAAAAACAGTTAATTTGAAATTTTCATGCAATTGCAAAAAGAATAAGAATGTATTGATTGGATGGCTATTAGTAGTTTCATAAGAAGTACACCCTCTATCTGTCAAAGAAGTGTTGTAACTTTTGCCTCAAGTCAAATGGTGCAAAGCTTGACCAAGTTTATAGGAGAGAAAAAAAATCAACAATTACAATACTAAATCAATTGAGTTGTAGTCACCCCTGCTTAGATTGGACGTGAAGTGAGTAATGGTGTACACACGTACAATATATTCATGTTTAATAAAACAATTAATAATCTCAAATTCTAAGAAGGGTTACCAAGATGGTGATCGGATCTGAGGTAAGATTCCACACAATAGCCCGGTGTTCTAAACTGCGGGTTATAGCTAGGAAGATGTATTTAATTCTATTGAAGCCTTAGCTAGTTTTGAAAATGTATGATGATTTCTAGAACTTACTATTTGTCTATGCAAACTATAATCGACATGAAAATTAAATAAAATTAATTGTCTAAAATAAATCACTACATATATGTCTTGGGACAAAGGTTGATTATAATCAATACGCATTATGATCAACTTATGTCCTAGGTCATATAGATCAGCTCACCGCAACTCTGGTTTATATCCAACATCCGTAATACTTGACCAACTAGTTACAAACAGTTGAAATGTTAATAAACTATATTAAGAAAAACTTCACTTTTTAATTGAAATATCATCGTTGAGTTACGTGGGCAAGTGTTTGGTCAAGGGTGGCGCGTAGGAGTACCATATATACCTTTTGAGTCGCCGGTGTTCCTTGTCGGCCGGGCTGCGGCCGCGGCGGCGGGAGCTGGCCTGGGCAGCCGCCGCCACCGACTGCGCGAGCTCGGACGACGTCCCGGCGGCCGCTGCCTCCCTTCCCGACGTCGATGGTCCTCCCTGGTCCAGCCGGAACTCCGGCACCCTCCCTATGTCGTCGTCACTGTCCATCCCTACACGCGCGCGCTTGTTCAGCTAGCCTTCAAGCCAATTAGCAACCATAGCTAACTAGCCTCGCATGATCATGCATGGACAAGATCTGGGCTTGATTGTGTAGATGCATATATGCGTGCATGAGTGTACGAGTACGTGCCTTCCTTGGAGTTGGAGCTGGACGACCTGTCGCTGCTGGAAGGCGGCGAGCTCGTCGTGGTGGCCGTCTGATCTTGCATTTCTTCCCTCTCCTGCGCTTGTCACGGGGAGATCTTATCAGTTGTGTGCACGTTTCTCTGTCTCCTCTCTGATTTGATCTCTGATTGGCTGTTCCTTTGTTGGCTTGCTTGAAGTACTGGCAGGCATGGCCAACTCTTTGTTCCCAACGCCGCAATGCCTTATTGCTGGTTAACCCCTATGGTTGCACGTATATATTGCTCGTGTCCTTCTTTTTTGCATATAAAGCCATCTACCTTCTCCGGTCCTAGTACTACTATTTTTCCATTATGGATTATGCCATGTTATACTATGTATGCTTAGCCTACTTTGGTGTTGTAGTGCATTATGATAATTTGAATTTGTATTAAAAAAACATGTTCTGTTAATACTTGGCGGACCAGATATTTTCCATTTTTTGTGCATATTTTTCACGACAAATTGTGAAAGTAAGTGCAACAAAGCACAATTCAACAACTGCGGTCTTCCTACTAGCAGAGGAGCCAAATCAACAACCGCAATCCTGCTTCCAATTTCATCTCAACATGAAATTGAAA